GTAAAGCAAACTATTGATTAGAGTTGGATAACTGAGGAATATAACAGAATAATGGTATAAGGAGATCTTTTCTAAAAAGTAACAGAAAACTAGAGACATTAATTTATGATATTGTTTGACATAGCAGTTTTTTTTTTAAACATTGGCCATATTCAAAAGGGTCATTTTATAATTTCATCTAGATATATAATTCAGTCTGTCAAGTAATGTCTTTAACGTGTTGACTGATCAGACACACACAGGCATGACCAAGTTTCAAACAGTACAAGTAAAACACATTTTTCAAATTATTCTTGTCTTTAACTTGTTAGCTAAATTTTGGCACACCTTTCTACAATCCACTGAGTGCATGATTAGTTAGTTAAAATAATTGCATTATTCGGTGAGTTAGCACATGATATAAAACATATTGATTTGTTAAGAATATTCTGACAATGTAAAATTATATTATGAGTTACTTATACCATGGAAATATTTTTTCTCCTAGCACTATTAATTCTCAGTTCAAAATAGCACTCAGGGAAATTCACTGAAGGTTTGAGATTCTGAAACAAATTAAAAAAAGAAAATAAAAAAACAAAAACCACAATGAGCTCTATACAACCAAATTCTATGTTTTTATTACTTCAGTGGACAAGGGGAAGCTAACATTTATTGGATACTTAAAACATATGCCACGTAATGAACAAAGTACTTTACATGAACTAGCTCGTTTAATCTTAATAGCCCAGTGAAGAAGATAATATTATGACTTTTATCGTCGAGTAAACCAAAACTTCAAAAAGTTAAGTGACTTTCCAAGGTCATATAATTAATAAATTGGGAAGCCAGTGTTCAAACCACACAGTCCCATTCCAAAACCTAATCTCTCAACCTGTATTTTTTACTAGATAATTTAACTTATTCTCAAGTAATAGTGATATTACCTTTAGTTCTTTTCATATAAAGTAGACCTTTAAAAATATCTTTAACTTTCTGGATCATTGAAATAAAAAGGTCAAGACCATGCCATCTAAATTTGTGGAGAAAAAAATTTTTAGAACTGCTGTTTTACTCACAGTCGGCCACATTCTCAATCCAATCTTAAAACTCAGTCTCTGCTTCACAAATTCTTTCTAAATTAATGAAACAAGATGGATGAGAGACTGAGGACTCCTGAGTAGGGAAAACTGCGTCTAGATCCTATACTTTGTATTAGTTATAAGACATTGTCCCACATAGAGTGGATAGCACTTCCTATTTTTCTTTTGTGGCTTTTGCCCTCAAGAATAGCTGGAATTGGAAAACCTCATTTAAGATATTGTGCAAAGGAATCATGCAACAATATGTGTTTGAATTACTTTTAAAGTCCCTTCCAATCTTATAAGTTCATGATTCCCATTAAAAAAAAGAAAAATCATCATGTATAAGAGAGGAGAAAAAGGCTTGAAAGAAGGAGTTTCTTGAGTACTAAGTAAACTAATATTATCCGTTTTATCCTTCATAAGAAAAAATATTGCTGGTGGAAGTGGAGCTACTTAGGGACTTTCAACTAAAGGACCATCATGGCATTCCAAATGGCTAGGCTAAAATGTACAATTATGAATGTTGGTTTGGCTCACCAAATAATTTAGTCAAATTTCTCCAATGTCACAAAAGAAGCAAGGTTGCCAAGGTCGTCAGATTATTCTTGCTGTGTCATCCCCACTGAAATGGTGCAAAAAGTGTAGGAGATAAGAAAAATTCTTGAAATAGTTCTGGGAACAGCATTACTTTGCCCACAGTGGAAGTGTTAGACTGAGGTAGTTTCCACCATGCATAAATAGCAGTGATATTATTGAGAAAAAACCTGAACCATGATTTTAACTATTGGTGGTTTCCACTTGTCAGTCTTGAATAAGGTAGCCATCGCTGCAGTGAACCAGGAAGCCACTTGGAGCCCTGATTTCGCAAATCCCAGCTATAAATGGGAAGTCCAGAAGCTAAGCAGGAATAGGTTACAAAGCAACTCAAGAGCTGCTCTCAGCTAGAAGCTATTTGTGTTTCTTATGCAAGATATGCTGCTTTTATGGGATTATCACTGCAAGTGAAATGGCTTGAGACATGATTAAAATTTGCAGTAATGTACACCCTATCTTATAATTCCCCATATCCAATCTGGAGTGCTTTGGTAAGCTTAACTTTAGAAAAAAAGCAGTCAGCCAAGAACAGCAATGAGGATTGCATGGCCTCAGCAGAGCTGAGTGGTACCTTCCAGGATTGCTACAAATCAGAGCATGAGAACTCCCCATTTAAGACTAATTTGGAACCTACATTGTACTTACTATAAATGTGGATTATGTTCTCCTTCTGTCTGTCATTGTACTGATTCAGGAAGCTTGTTCTGTTATTGTTGTTTGGACCCATTTTCTATTTGTCCTAACAAGGAAGAGAGCCCTTGTTTGGAACATTGACATTTTGTTGCATGCATGTTCTTCAAAACCCTAAACATTTAATATGGAGAGAATGGAGGATGCAACATTTGTTTCCCAAGCCCTATTTCTCATTCTAAAATAGAACATTTACAACAGTCTGTGACATCCATACCCATTTTTATATTATTTTTAAGATCTGCTAAGTTAAAAAGATATAAAGGAAAAGTCATATAATCCTTTTGATTTCAAACTTACTTTCAAAGATAAATAATAAAGAATTTTTCAAAGAGTCATTAATAAAAGAATATTCTTTCCAGTGTGAAAGAGCACATAATTTTATGCTAATTATACAATACAAAAGTAGCAGGGGGGAAAGGTGCTGTAGAGCTTATGAGATTTGAGGAAAAATATCTTTAACATTGTTGGAATCATCAGAAAAAAAGACTGTAATTCATTTCTTTTTAATGTTTTGATATTCTCTCTGTGGAAGATCTAAATTAATTCTGCTTTTAGGATTTACAGCTTTGGCCTGTTGGTATGGACACTAAGTTCCAAACTCCAGTAGTCACTGTAGTTCTTATGTCTGAATTTTACCTAAAGAAAAATGAACTTAACTTTGTGTTATACCAGACGTTATATTGTCATGAGAAAGATTATCTTTATGAATCATGAATCTCAGGTCTATTGACTTTTCATATGCTTAAGAAGAAATTTTCTGGGTAATTTTTAACTAATTGGAATTCTTTCATCTTTATTCATTTACTTAAAGTGCTTTAAGCAGATAAGAACTCTATAATTTTTAAAAATCCCTTCAAATATAAGTGAATTTTAAGGGCATATAATATGATTTTATTTCATTACAGAATGCAATGAAAATCAACAGATATTAAGAGTTTTCTATGTATGACTTTTATAATAATAATGCTCCTATTACAATGAAAACAAAAAAAGCAAATATAAAAACATTTTCTTAGCTCTTACTGTGTGCTCGGCACTCTGCTAAGT